GCATCAGTGAGTGACAAAACAATGTCAGATGCGTATCCCTACTTGACATGCATCATACGTTCCCGTTATTGTAACAACTGACTAGTGTAACTGGCGTCACCAGTCAGACAGCATACGTTTACTATTTTGCGAACAACTGGTGTCATCTTTATTTCATGGTTATTCATGAAGACATACAATGCTATATAGTATGAATCATACAGTCGACTTTGCTCCTGGTTGAGAATTTCCTGTAGAAAGGTTTCCTGTGCTTTTAACAGGAAGTTAAGGTGTAGAAATGACGTCAACATTATACAAGCTGCCAGAAGTGAATAACGTGATAATAGACATCAGCACCATCATTTACAGTTAAACGACTCATGTTAATGATACACAGAGAATACTACACGAGGTCTCATTACATACGAATTATACGAAACGAGTGTCCTCATAAAGAGGTTGCGGAAGAATTTTGTTCTGTAGTCACTTTTTCATGACGTCACGATGCATGTCAGTTGTCATCCCCTCGTACAGCCTCCTACAGTAAACTACTCCGTAGCACCTTTTCTTGGTTTGCTATTGCTTCACTCAGCCAACATCACTGGTGGAAACATTGCGTTTATGTTTTTCGACGGATATAATGTCTCAGTTCGACTCACAATTAAACAGCGATGCGGCAACGTTCGCAATGTTTACATTCCGACAATGCATATATAACTTGTAGAATGTATGAATTCACGTGTTTGTTATGAATGAACAAGTAGTTCCTTCACAACGTGACCTAACTGAGAGGTCATCGGTTAACCGATCAAATCGTTAGAATCTCAGGTAAAGTCGTTACGACACAGGTCAACGCGATACGACACTCGTGTGACGTACGAGATTAGTATGCAACTACCCATACTTTGACCACGTGGGTAATAAACAGCAAAACGTGCAGGTTGTGGAACAGTATTGGTTCAGTGGCAGTAGCCACCACGATAATCACGTAGCTGACGACTACTCCGTCGATAATGATGAGCCGGGAACCTTAGCCAACCAGAGCACCTGTAACAGCACCTGGCAATGTTAGCACCACCTTCTGCTAGCTAGGGTCAATAATGCATGTTATTGTGAAAAGGCCGTGGGAGAAGGTTGTGACATGCTCTGTGCCAGTACATTGCTTCAGTCGATGTTATTGACGCAGCGGTTGTCATTGCGAGTAGTTTTTCTTCAGCTCACCGAGGGAGGTAAGTTAATCTTCCTCCTTTTGTTGTCAGTGATATGTCAATAACTCGTTTGAAGACAGAACTGTCACTAGTATTTATTCAATGCGAAGTTTCATTATAGGGCGCTAATACTTTCATGAAAAAAAATATATTGAAGACAAAATTATCCAAACAATGTTCTTGATTCTCATTTATTGTAATTCTTATTACAATTTCTCGCGTTCTTTGGACTTGTGGCAGCGACTGATTAAAACATTTTAGAAAGATAAACATATTTTATGACGAGGCGGTACGTTTTAGGTTCGAGTCGGCGGTTCGGTGTTGGAATGAAAAAAAAAGTTTTCTGGGCGGAGTCGGCAATAAAATTAGAAGGGTCGGTCGGGCGATGAGAAACACAAAAAAATAAAAGCTGCCCTAGGTGATATAAATGCTTAAGCCTTACTGCAATTCGCCATTCTGCCGAAAGTGGTACACGTCTATGACTGCATCACCTTTGGTTTTGTTTTAACATTAGGCTAACACGCCATGACATATATGGCTGGAATACTGTTCAAAGCAGCGTTCAACTAACTTACAAAATGTAGTCTAATAGCAGTTGGTTAAAGATAATGCTTTGTACCGGGGTCTTTTGAAAGGGGATCCCGTGAATTATATATTTCATAGTCTATTGTTATCAATCTCATGAATAGAAGCCATTTTCAATGCAAATGATAGTGACGACAAACTTAGTTGCAACATGATTATCTCACCATAACATGCCGGATTCATTCCGAATGATTTGGCTACAAAATGTGAAGTCCAATTCTGCTGTCGCCCGCCGTGATGTTCAAACCGTAATATGAGACTCATTAACCAATTCAGACAATGACTTACTTTTCAGCCGATACGAATTTTTCTCGTGTGAAAAACACTACAAACAACCATGGTTACACTAAATTCCAATTCTTTATATCATAAGAAAATGGTATTTACAAAATAATTTTAATCTTAAAGTTTAAAAAAATAGTATTTCTATATTTTATGTCGAGGCTTAGGCAGCATGTCGTTAACTAAGACGTCACAGACATCCCCTGTTTGAAGAGGTCGTACAATGATTAACAACTCATCTGGCTCACTGGTTACACCTGTTATGTGTTTTGTGCGCTAATTAAGTGTATTTTTGTAACGTACAATGTGATTGATATAATATCAAGTCCGTACCAGACCGCCAAATTTGTCTAGCGACAGAGCCTCGTTTTGAGATTTCCGTTTGTCAGAGCACGTTGTACGACAGAGCACGCTGCACAACGTGTTTGCAAGGATTAGAAGGAGCGTAGTGTTGCAATATACGAGTGATTAGATGTATCAAATAATACTGATTAATATTTATATATCCAGTTGAATGAGTTGGTCTCAAAATTCTGGACTGGTTATTGTACTAAGTTGCGCAATAGGACGGAACCCAGTCAGCAGGAAACGAGACTGTTGTGTAATCAATGTGTTGACTTGCTGTATTGTTGCAAAATGCAGCGTGAAACCGTACTCATTCACTCTGAATCTCCGTGATTAGCGTGGAGTTCATTGAGAGGATTGGCTCCACCCCACTCAGCATCATGTCAGGTTCCGGCATTAACCCATTTTTTAGGACATGGACATACATACAAGAACATGTTTGTTGACTTGTGGTGTGTCAGTGATGCCAAGACGATGATTACAATGTCATAATCTAGCGGTCTTAAAGTGAGCCTGAAGTAGCACTTTTCCTAACATGTCACATCCGCACATGTGGTGTCAGCCAGATGTCCCTTCATTCATTCGGTGTCTGCAAGGTGTCACTCGACACATACGGTGTCTGTCAGGTGTCACTCGACAAATACGGTGTCTGCCAGGTGTCACTCGACTCATAGGTGTCTGCCATGTGTCACTCGACACATACGATGTCTGTGTCACTCGACTCATTCGACTCATTCGACACATACCGTGTCTGCCAGGTGTCACTCGACACATACTGTGTCTGCCAGATGTCACTCGACACATACGGTGTCTGCCAGGTGACACTCGACACATACGGTGTCTGCCAGGTGTCACTAGACTCGACACATACGGTGTCTGCCAGGTGTCACTCGACACATACGGTGTCTGCCAGGTGTCACTCGACTCATTCGGTGTCTGCCAGGTGTCAGTCAGTCATACGGTGTCTACCAAGCGGCTGAAGCAGGGGAGGTAACCCTAAATACGTCCTTACATCATAATTGCGTGGAACTACTGACGTCAAATGTAAGCTGATCGTGATGAATGTGCCAATATGGTCATATCATCCCCCAGGCGACGTATTGTTTGTCAGCTTCTCTAGATATTGTGTTCAAGGAAGGGTGTTAAAAATGTAGCCTTAGGCGCGTCTCTCCTGAGATGCAATTCAGTACAACGGGTAATGGATAAATATACACATCTTAACATTTTCTGATACGAAAACCGTGAAAAAGTGCAATCCTTGAGCTCTTTCACTTCTTAGACTGAGACATGATATGAAACGTGAAAACGCAAATATGTTGAAATCCACATAGTAATTGTGTCTGAATGTCCAAAGGCCAAACTGTCACATTAGTGAGGGTGATGTTTTTTATGCTCATTTACGTAGGCACCACCGAGAGACAAGGTTTAACCACTGGGCAACCCAACCATACTTTAACCCATATTTGATGATCGTAGGTTCGCTCCGAGTATGGTTGTAGGGTTGTCCGCACCTGGCTAGCTATTCTCGAAACGTTCGTAGCCCTACGAACTTCTTAAGCCCATTCTCAACACATTGGCTACGATCAAAGTTAAGAATTCTTAGGGCTACGAACGTTTCGAGAATAAGGGCCCATATTCGTGTTTTAACGTCTTTGACTGCGTCAGTTTGAGTTTTCTTTCAACATTAAGCTGATAGCCATGACAGAGCTGGAATACTGTTCAAGGCAGCGAGCGGACGACTGAAGGTGAATGTACACTGCTCCTGGCCTGACCAGCTACGCGTGGTCTGACCTTTGTACTACCATGATTCCTAAAACAGTTTCCTTTCGTTCCAATAACACGCAGCCCTATAAGTATCAAGGTTAGTTTTGATCGAACATCAACGTTGGTCAATATTGCCAACGCTTGACCGCTTTTGTCTGAGGGTATGACATACGACAATCTTTCAGGATGTTATTTCCACACCAAACTAATTACACGAAGGACTTTAGTTCCCAGTGAAGTACGGTATCAAAAGACATAATTCCTAATCGGAATCGACCTTTTTGATAACAAGAATGACAGAAGCCGAAGCACGACATACATGATGAGACTTGTTTCTACGTCACGAACTCCTAGTGAAAAGCTGTAAAGTGGACTAACGTTTATACAACTTATTCTGATGTTCGGCAGTGGGTGGATAACATATAGTAGATTGTGGGTAACGTATGATATATTGCAAATGGTACATGATATATGGAAGATGTTAGATGAGGATGATAGAGATAGACAGTACATGGTACCGACATCAGCACCATGCCCGTGCACGTAGGTCGCAGGCGTTTACGTTTCTGATGCATCCTGCGTCGAAGACGACATGGGAATCCGCAACCATTTGTAGATGAGAAATTATAGATGGTGTGTGTGGCAAATGGAATCGTTGGATCATTTCTGACAGCCCTCGTCATTTCAGCGACTCGACTTGTCATTATTAGGATTAAATTACCCATATATGAAACCTTCATCAAACCAGTTCACTTGGGGAAATACTTGATGCGTCTAAGATTAAAACTTATCAATGTTATTGATGGCATCTGAGGAATCTAATTGTTGTACTTTCAGAATCTGAGTAAACCGCTGCGTTAGTCGCCTGCTGCCATGATGAGAAGCCTCTCCTTCCTGGTGGTCAGTGTCGTTCTGGTGTGTGCGTTGGTATCGTCTGCTCCCGTAGAACAAGCTGCTGGTGAAAAGATCGTTGAAGTTGGTAAGCATAAAATATCAGGTTTTATTACCATTCTAATAATTTCTTTATATGTATCATGACAGTTGGCAACATGTCAAGTTAGGATAGGATTATTGTATTGTCTCACTAGAAATTCCAATATTCATGATGCAGGATACGTATCAGACATGAATCAACAGCCGACATCTTGTCTTTATTTGCTTAGTTTGAAACATCTGACATTATGAAATAAAGAATATTGTTAAAATGGGTGAAGAGGAAAATGTCTTTGAGCTTGAAATGAACATTTAAGTATGAGTAAGTCAGTGATCAACCATAAAACTATTTATCATTTGATAGACCTTTATTTAACCACATATCATTTGAAAATCCCACTTTTTCTAACTCAAACATAAGGAAATGATCTCTAAAATCTTTAAAGTCGCCCATTTCTTTACAGATTTTATCCTTATCTCTGATCGAGTTATGTGTTACCATAACATGCTGTTATTGAAATAAGCAACGTTTAGTTCATTCACATGTGAACACAAAACGGAATTCATGTCTGTTATGATATGTCAAAAGGTGGTTTTAACGTTGAAAGTGGCTAGTGTATTTTGGTCAAGCTGAATGTTTCCCTTCAATCTTTCTTATGATTTGTTTGCTTTCCTGTTAGTTCACAACCATTTTCGACCTGAAGAATGAGGACAATTTGTATGGATATACAACGTCTTTATTCTGTATAGGCGACGTTTCGACACAGATTGTCAAGCCATGCCATTAGAATCTATTTCGGAACGTCGCCTTCACAGAATAAATAGTTGTATATCCATAAAAATATTCCTCATTCTTCATCGCCTCAACTTCTAGAATGCCAATCAAAGAAGTCATTTTGGACCTATATAGGATACAGAGCTCAGTGCCGTTATTTTCACCGAGAACGAGACACATAAACTATGCGTGAAATGGAAAGATGTTCTATCTCATTAACACCACAGCGGCCATGCTATGGCATCGGGTGGATGCATTATAATTGTAGTTGAATGTCTTTTTGTTGACATCGCCCAGTACGAAGGACTATGGAGCGTAGCAAACTGATTTTCCACGGCTTCCGTTTGTTAACAACGAGTTTGGTCAATATTAAAACTTGTTTTACGGTAGATGATACTGGATGACTGTGAGCCTTGGACAAGACCACACAGTGTAATATCCATATTTATATCGAAATGCAATTCAGGTAGCGAAACCTCGTTAGTGCGACGGTGCCGTTTTGTCCACAGCGAGTGCAAAATGAATTTCCGTCCCTGTTAGCAATAGTTAAGAAATGTGGAGTCAGGCACACCAGGACTCAGGCATTACCCAATCACATTAGCCGATCGAAACCGGGTTTTAGCGTTCCGACAGTCGAAGAACATGGCGACACAAGACCGAGTACATGTGGACGGAAGGAGCCTGGCAGACAGTTCCGACAGAAGGTGGCCGACACAATATATGACTTACAATGTCAGAGAGGCAGAGAATGGATACAACATCATCTGTCTGTGAAAGGCCACGTGATATCAGCTCCACGTTCGTGACATAGCCTAGCTACCCCACATTAGAGTCCACTGTGATTATGTATAAAATACACTCCTGCTGTCTGAGAATAATACCTTGCTCAATTTGCTATTTATGGATTTCCAGTTAGTGTCCCAAAACACTATGCTATCACATATGTTTGCTGAGTAGGGATAATGTGAAATAATTTCATAATACACATATATGTGACAAACAGATACTTCTGTTTAGAAGAATTGGTCAAGGTATTATTTCAAACATCATTTACACATTTATTAAGTAGAGTTTCCAAATAGTAGTATTATCTTTAGTTCATTCCTTCCTTCAGTGGCAGACTGATTTTGATTGCGTTCAATAGATCTTTAATTGTTCCTGCTTTGGGTCTACACCACAAACCCAGACAAAATATGTTTCATGAGAATGTGAAAGAGTGCTCTGGTCTGAAATGCAACATCGCTTAATAAAGAGGCCAAGAGAGACTGAGCAGACACATTTCAGTGATTTCAGGATAGTGATTTTCTTATGATTATGGAAACTGTTCTGTCGCCTATATTTCCAATATTCATTGCAAAGTTGTCTCGACAGACTCGATTATTTGAAGTCTGTCGTCATGTCGTTGAGTTCTGCGTTAAGCATCACATGAACATCGCAAACAAGCTAGCAGACTCAAAACACTCATCCTCTATGTTGGAGTAAGGAACAAGGCCTTTAAACAACTATGAACTCATAAACTACAATGCTCTTGGCCGACAGGGCCTGTCTCCCCTACCTCATGCCAATAAGTCAACATGCCTCAGACTATGTATTCCCGAGGCGGCCTGGTGGTTAAATCTTTGATCAACCTCCAGTGACTAAATGTGCGCTTGCTGTTTGTTTAATCTAGAACAGAACCTGGCTATCGACGCTCATGCATCTGTACTTCAATGATGTTGAAGACGCGTACCCACGAGAATATTTCACTGTTGCATATGAAATGCATTAAATAAATGTACGACTATCGATCTTGGAACACTCTGTAGGGTATGTGTTTTGATAATGATTCAGTGCCAAAGTTTCGAAAAACGATTAAAATGAATTCAGAATAAAACTCTCAACAACTGACCTTGTTAACGCAGCCTGTTGCTGAAAGCCACCCGAACAAAAAAAATCAGCGGATATCGTCAAGGGACGCAACTCTGCACATATAATTGCAACATCCGTGACCTACAAGAAGCGGCTTGTCGGAATGACACGAGTAGTTACGAATGTGCAAGGGTCCAGACCAAAGGACTACTCGTTTCTTACTTTTCTCGAAAAAGGGCCATGTTCGCAAGAAACACATGTTACGTGACAGGCGAAACTTGTCGTACTGGGCGGCACCAGACAGCAATAACAGAGAACCATATCGATTATCCTAAACATTTGCAAATAGACAGGTTGTTATTGAAAGTACTGACCTTTCTCATACTTTCGCCATCTTTGTTCGAAAACCCCGGCGAATATCATCAGAGCCGCATCAACTGATCGGAAGAACCACGTCCCATTTGGATGTGTTATAAATGACGTCATCAAATTCCGTATTGCACCCCAGATTCCGTATTGAACCCCTGTCGGTTCTACATTGCTACGCTATGATTTGTTTTATTAGGTAACAGATTAATGCAAGGTAAGAGGGTATATAATAAATATAGAACTCGATGATGTCATGGGAACTCGTTGTTTCTCTGCTTCCATGACATCTTCTCGTTCAATACAAAACATCCAAATGCACTAGTATGACGTTCTATATATTTATGTAACGAAAATCAATTTCATAACATGCCACTTGTATTTTGCTAATTCGCTGTCATGAATGACCTGTCGAACTTGAACAAAACTCCACAAATATTATAGAATATATAAAAATTAAAACCAATATTGTTGATTATGAAAAACTATACTTGGGAACTACAAGGATAAGAATTAGCGTGTTCATGCAGGTAAATGTATTATATGATGATATTCTTGACAGATTGGTCTGTATTTCACGTTACCATACAGTCTAAGTAAACTTAGGCTCAGTATTATTCGTAACACTGCTATACTGAGTCTAACAAAACCTTGTGGAAGGTCGCGTCAGAAGAACACAGCTTACCAAATCGCGAAAGCTGACATTCGAACATACCTTTTGAACTTTTACCTCGAAAATGTTTTGTACCCGAACGATTCCGAATGCTATATTCCGTACGATCGCTTCCGAGTGATGCACATGGAGCACGCCACAACACACACTCCGGCACAGCGATGACTAACATAACATCACTGCCACAGGCTAATTTGCATATCACGTGACCGGACTTTTCTCTTGTTTATAATCAAACGCGCATATTCATAATAAGAAGAGACTGGACTCACGAAAGCTATTCGGCGCTCTCTTCATAATGTTTTACATTGTTACATATATATTCTTCCACAACTGCGACAGTAAAGTCTATTACAGTACATATTTAGATATCAAACTGGCTGCATCGTTTGCTCTCCATCAGCTTCGATGACAGCACGTGGAGCCGTACAACCTATGTAAACAAAGGATCGCTACGCAAATCGAAATAGTGTTACATGTTTTAGGATATTTTCTCCATGAAACTAAACCATTCCATCAAAGATGTTTAATTAGTTGTGTAGACTCGTCAAAAATAAAAGAGTTGTGAAATATGTAAATTATATTGAATGGACGGTGCAAGATGTGACGAATCGTCACATTTTTCTGGCCTGTGGCAGAGATACTATGCTGGCTTGCCGCATGGAACTCTGGGTAGGAGAGTGGCCACAACAGTGAGAAAACAGTCGCTGAGAATAGCGTTTTGTCATTATTCAAGGATGTCAGCTTGCAGAAATATTAGCTAATGATAGCCATGTCAACAGAAACCCCAAAGCGTATATTCTGCAGGTCATATATCTGTCTTTTATGTGGGTTTTCATAATCATAATCAGTGTTGGCGACCGGGGAAGAGAAAATCCATTTTGTAAATCCCGCCAAACCTTAAATAGTAGCCGTTGTCTGATTAGTAAAATCCGTTCGGCCGTCTCGCGTTTGATTGGACGGGCATAGGTCGCTCTTGTTAGACTCAGTATAGCAGTGTAACGAATAATACTGAGCCTAAGTTTACTTAGACTGCGTTGCCATAGTAACGTTGAACCTGTCAACGTACACTAGAAACTAATGGCCGAGTTTATATCGCCTACAGCATGCCTTCTCTGGTTATCAATTAATGGATGTTTTCTGGGGGTTAATATTTCTCTCACCGTTTTAGTGATGAAATCGGCTAATGAACCTATATCTTGCCAAACTCAAACGCAGGATGGAAATTCAATTGATTTACAATCAATATCGTGATGTGGAAATGTACAACTTATATAAACAGCATTTATATTGATTGTTCAATAAGTTAGATCAGATTCTCTCCTCTGCGTCATTCCTGTTGTAACAACATGCAGTCTTGGTTTTTGTGAACTATCAAGACGTACATTTTATTGAATAAGTACAAGGTTTCCTGAAAAATATCAGTCGATCCCTGAATCTCCTTGTTAGCATGGTTACAACAACCCATGCGCGTTGTGAAGAGGTGATAACAAGTCACGTAATTAGGCTTGCTGGCATGATCGTCTCGGGTAAAGTGAGTGAGTGAGTTTATTTTTACGCCGCTTTTAGCAATATCCCAGCAATATCATAGCGTGGGACTCCAGAAATAGGCTTCACACATTGTACCCATGTGGGGAATCGAACCCGGGCCTTTGGCGTAACGGGCGAACGCTTAAACCACTACCCCAGCGCCCCTCGGGTACAGTGGCTAGATTGTGATGCAATCACTGTACTGTCTGGTCTAAACTCATTTGGCCGGAATGGATGTTTCATCTCTGACTGTTGCCGAGTGTGGCGTTAAGCAATAAACAAAAATATCCTGACATATCCTGTGTGAGGTAGTGAGTGGCGAGTTGGAGCTCCTGGATCAGGTGACACGCATGGAAAGGGCGTGGCCTCACTGGTGTATATCGATCTCTATTGAATACGTGTATCCGTCGAATGATTGAATGTCGCCACACATCAGAAAGAAATGGTATTTGTATGCATCCTACTTGCATCCTACTCACACGTTGTGACATTTAACAAACAAGGAGATGAGTCGCAGGAAAACTGTACCACTGCAACAGCCAAAGGGTAAAGCAGAGACTTATGTGAGTGCGGCTCTCACCACTGTATACCACTCCGATGCAACTTCTGGTTATGCCATGACATATTAATTATAGTAATATGGCAGAAATCGTGACATTAACTATAGTAAACAGAAATCTGAAGACAGATGAACTATAGTGATATTAAAGAATCACGTATTCTTCATGGGTCGAATCCAGCATTGATTTTCAGTCCTACACGAAAGCTGAACTGAGAGTTTCACGAAATCGATAAACGCCTACGACGTGCGTGGCTTTTGTTTTCCTCCCACGTCAATCTGACGCTCGGTGAAATCATGTTTAAAGGTCCCACTGCTTAAGAATTATGAATCAACCATGGTAACAGTTTTATAGTGTTCTGAAAGTGAAAAAGTCTACTTATGACTATATGTTGTCCTGTTTACATGTGTGAGTGAGTGGTTATGGTTTCACGAAGCCTTTAGGAATATTTAAGCAATATCATTGCAGAAAATATAAGAAAGTCTCACGCTCACACACATTGTAAATATATGGCGAATAGAACCTGGGTCTATTACATGACGAGCAAACGATTTACCTACTAGTCTACCCCACCGGGTCACACTATTAACATGAAGAGTTGATGTGTATGTGCAGAATCTGATGGATTAGTGCATGTAGCCTCAAGACAGATTATATCTATCGGGCAATGGTAGATTGTTGAAACTGTGTACACAATCAGTATTTGTTACCCTTATCGTTGCAGCCAAGCGCGACCAGGAGGCGATCCTGTTCGGCAACCAACAGAACGACCCTCGTTTAAAGAAGAAGAAAAGTGACCCTGCCGTCTCCGTAGTACCAAAAGACAGTAGCTTAGATGAACAGGGCTCTGTGATCGCAGTACCCGCTAAACAGGAAGACTTTATCCCCGAAGACCAACATGTAGCAGGCGGCGTCCAGGAGCAGACGGCAGTGGAAGCAGACGACAACCAAGGACAGACCGCGCCGGTTGTTCCCGCCATCAAACAGCAGCTGCCAGAAGGTCCGGTTGGCGATGGAGTCAGCGAAGCTGAGACTGACTCTGTTGAGGAAGAACTGAAGGACATACTTGCCGACAATAGCAAGGAAGGACCCGGGGAGATAGTTGGAGCTCCTGTTGAGGGGCCTAGTGACGATGTGCCGGCTGAGGAGGAGGAGGTATCTGAGGCTTCAGAGGAGGGTGATGATGTAGATCAGACAGACGATTCAGAAGGTGCAGATGTGGCTCAAGTTGGAAGCGATGTGAGCACGCCGCTCTTGGACCTATACTATTACATGCAGGAAAATGGTAAGACTGCTGTGTAGCGGAGACAAAAATACATACTAGATATTCACACTTTAGGACACGTTTGTGAATGAGAAAGAAGTAAACTTGTAAGAGCATTAATATGTTCATTCGGTCGTTGAAATCGACATATTATTTTTGCAAGAGTATGCATTTCCCTGTTATTATATACTATGTACTCGTACTACTTCATCGGAGAACTGTTTTTATACATTTCAGCCATAGATCATTGAGTGTGTAATACCAAACACAGTTTCAGTTGCCCTTGATTTCTTGTCTGGATCTTACTTACACCTGTTCGGTTGAGTTAACTCAGTTACTAGTAATAACTCAAATGATTCCATTTTCACTGTCCGGTGAACAAAATAATTTGAGGTAGTAAAAAGTAATAAAAAAGGTGTTCTTTTCATAGAGAAAAACATTATACCTCTGTCCTCTATTTATACAGACAAGGGACGCAATGAACCCCAACAGCAAGACTATTACCCCTACGACCTCAGTTACTACCCCTATCGCCGCCGTCGCAGTTCCAGGCGTAGCCGTGCTATCACAGAGGGAGACATGATCCACAACGAGGTGAAGCGATCCAAGAGGATCAAGCGCGACCTCCTTGACGACATAGACGCTTACTCTTACGGAGATGAAGAAGGCTATCCCCAACAGCTCACCGAGGAGGATCTGTACGAGCTCTACCGTCCAGAGCCTAGATACGAAGACGAGGTGGCCTCCCTGCTAGACATGTACCAGCAGGCACCGAAGGTTCCAGTGTACGAGCCCTACGAACCATACCCAGCCGAGGACTCCTACCCTGAGTCATTCGAGGAGCTGGAGCAGGAACCGGAGTACGTGCCCAGTAAACGCCAAATGATGAGCAACCTGCCAGGCATCAGGAAGAGGTACTTCTACCCCTTCAGCCGGGAGCCCGAAACACACTGGGGAGCCTTCATCCCCCAACAGAAACGGGACTATGAGCAGGCCTATAAGAGACTCTTGGCACTCGCCAGTGCTCTGTCTGAAGACTCCCCATACTACCAGGTAAGTTGGGAAGGGACTAGGTATTAGCACAGAACATGTTAAGGACCGATTCTTTCATTTTCTATATTCAATCGTGTAATATAATCAAATAACGCTCAGGGGAGCGAGAAACTCTTAAGATAAACTGGTGGTTGGGACGTCACTTCCAAAAACGCAGCTATAGTAGCGAATGGTTCGATATCATTTACAAAATATATATTCATTACTGGGTTAAATGAGGACGAATAAGCCTCGGCACCTAATTTTTTTTTTTACATTACTCGGAATGAACGCTCTATTGCAAAATGTCCGCATCGCCTACATCATTGACATCGTCTCTCATATTTGATATACACTGTCTAAAGGTGTATTTCATTCTTGTTTTCAGGATTACAGGAAAAAGTAAATTTCAAATTTGATGGGCAGATCGAAATTGGGAAGACGAAGTAACTTCTTTATCATCTAAAGGAATACGTTTCGTGACGTATCTTTGATCTCGCCGTCTCGGATGAGATGTGAACACCGGATGTGATGTATCTTGTCACGTGTTGTACAAAGACGTGCATGGCTGTGGATAGTCTGCATGGAGGACCATTAACAAATCGTGAAATATATTTATTGAAAGGGACTAAGTACAAATTATCTGTATACATAAATAGACAACAACCAATTTATTTTTCTGTGGATGTGCAATGTCGTCGACATGTAGTAGTACTATCTAGTGCTAGATTGTGCATAATGTGTAGTTGTATTTCATCCTAACTATCTGGTGTCCCACTCGCCTTTCTTCCCCTTGATCTCTATGTTAAACGCAAGAAAGGAAACCTAACCTTAAACCAAACTTGTTTACACATTTCTCTGAGTAAAAACAAAAGTAATAATCTGTTGACGTGTAAACAATTTTGGTTTTTCGACGTGATACCGTATCAATGTATGTATGTGCGTGTTGGTAGGAAGATAAAGGTCTCCACGGGTTTCAGGAAATGTCCATATATGGTAGCTGTATCATATCACTCGGCACTTTTCGTAGCAATCGTTTACGGAAAAAGCCGAGACAACATAACCCCACACAGTTATTATGTTCCGAGCTATTTTTAAAATTATATTTATTATAGAGAATATCGCTTTAAATGCATCTGCTGAGTCAATACTACTCCTACTACTCAAACTGTTCGCTGTATATGTACACACATTGGAGTGATAAAACATAGAGGCTTTCCCAGCAGGTGAACAGCTCTTTCATAGGTTCAGTTGAATCATTATTTTTGCAGATGAACCATCTTTATCATACAAAGGTCACAACAACATCAAATATTCATATGAAAATAACGTATTGTTCATCAACCTTAACCAATCACATTCAACGCGATTGCCAAAATGTCAAACTGAATGTGTAATATCCCACCGTTACCATGGCTACCCAAGGTTGTGATGTTAAAGGGATGTGTCTCGTTATTTGCTGACGTCAATAAAAAATTTAACTGAGTATGAACATGTGTTTGTTATCATTTTTAACATTGAGATGTTTTCTGCACATTTTTGACAAATCTGTGATAACTGGCTGAGAGTGTATTGAGTGAAAAGGGAGCGGGTAAGGGCTAAGGCGTTTGGAGGGTGATGAGAACGTCTTGCATTCTGGTAATATTCGGGGTGATGACATCGTCTTGCATTTTGACAATAAGGTTTGTGAGACCATTTAGGGCCATTGTTAAGGGCCATTTGAATACCTTACACATAGGGAATACCAAGCACATTGACACTGTTGGCGAAAATGAGAATGTCTAGAATACTGAGAACTTGGGGCGATGAAAAACACCATCTTACTGACAATGTTAGAGGTTATTATTTTTTGTATTCGAGCTATATGGCCACGATGTGTAAATATTCAAAGATCAACAGCATTAGCATCGTTTTACGCAGTTGGGATACCATGACATGTGTCAGCTAAGTCAGTGAACCTGACCACCCGATCCCGTTAGTCGCCTCTTACGACATGCATGGGTTGTTGAAGTCCAATTCTAACCCGGATCGGCATCATGGGGCATAGCATTACCTAGCACGTGGGACTGTTTGGAGTGATATATAGCATATAGAAAATATCATCGGGGAGGAGTGTTAAACACAGAGAGAACATCTACCACACTGAGAATGTTTGGAATGATAAAAATGCACAGCATACTGAGAATGTTTGGAATGGTGAGAATGCCACCGACATTGTGAACGTTGGGGGGTGAGTGAAACAAAACACGGTGAGACTCTTTGGGATGGTGGTGTGAGCAATATATATTATTCTATCCTCGTCATACGTTGTTATCACCCAGTCACACAATGTAACACGTAATCACCACCCAGTCACACAATGTAACACTTAATCGCACGCCATCACAATGTAACACTTGGTCGCACGTAATCGCCACCCAGTCACACAATGTAACACTTGGTCCACGTAATCATAATGTCACAAATGTAACACGTAATCACCACCCAGTTGTAACACGGTCGCACGTAATCACCACCCAGTGGCACAATGTCACGGTTGCACGTAATCACCACCCATGTAACACTTGGTCGCACGTAATCACCATACAGTCGCACATAATGTAACACTTAACACGTAATCACCACCCAGTGACACAATGTAACACTTGGTCGAACGTAATCACAACCCAGTTAAACAATGTAACACTTGGTCGCACGTAATCACCACCCAGTTACACAATGTAACACTTGGTCGCACGTAATCACCACCCAGTTACACAATGTAACACTTGGTCGCACGTAATCACCACCCAGTCATTCAACAGAACACTTGGTCGCACGTAATCACCACCCAGTTACACAATGTAACACTTGGTCGCACGTAATCACCACCCAGTTACACAATGTAACACTTGGTCGCACGTAATCACCACCCAGTCATTCAACATGTAACACTTGGTCGCACGTAATCACAACCCAGTTACACAATATAACACTTGGTCGCACGTAATCACCATCCAGTTACACAATGTAACACTTGGTCGCACGTAATCACAACCCAGTTACACAATGTAACACTTGGTCGAATGTAATCACCACCCAGTTACACAATGTAACACTTGGTCGCACGTAATCACCACCCAGTCATTCAATAGAACACTTGGTCGCACGTAATCACCACCCAGTTAAACAATGTAACACTTGGTCGCACGTAATCACCACCCAGTTACACAATGTAACACTTGGTCGCACGTAATCACCACCCAGTTACACAATGTAACACTTGGTCGCACGTAATCACCACCCAGTCATTCAACAGAACACTTGGTCGCACGTAATCACCACCCAGTTAAACAATGTAACACTTGGTCGCACGTAATCACCACCCAGTCATTCAACAGAACACTTGGTCGCACGTAATCACCACCCAGTTACACAATGTAACACTTGGTCGCACGTAATCACCACCCAGTTAAACAATGTAACACTTGGTCCTACCTAATCACCACCCAGTCATTCAATAGAACACTTGGTCGCACGCAATCACCATCCAGTCATTCAACAGAACACTTGGTCGCACGTAATCGCCACCCAGTTACATAATGTAACACTTGGTCGCACGTTATCACCACCCAGTCACACAATGTAACACTTGGTAGCACGTAATCACCACACAGTCACATAATGTAACACGTAATCACACACGTAATCACCACCCAGTCATTCAATGGAACACCTGGTCGCAACGTAATCACCACCCAGTGACACAATGTAACACTTGGTCGCACGTAATCACCACCCAGTCACATAATGTAACACTTGGTCGCACGTAATCACCACCCAGTTACACAATGTAACACTTGGTTGCACGCCATTACCACCCAGTACATGTAACAATCACCACCCAGTCACATAATGTAACACTTGGTCGCACGTAATCACCACCCAGTTACACAATGTAACACTTGGTCGCACGTAATCACCACCCAGTTACACAATGTAACACTTGGTCGCACGTAATCACCACCCAGTTACACAATGTAACACTTGGTCGCACGTAATCACCACCCAGTTACATCCACTACGTAATCACCATACAGTTACACAATGTAACACGGTCGCACGTAAGCACCTCCCAGTTACACAATGTAACACTTAGTCACACGTAAGCACCTCCCAGTTACACAATGTAACACTTGGTCGCACGTAAACACCACCCAGTTACACAATAGAACACTTGGTCGCACGTAATCACCATTGCATGACCCGGGTTCGATTCCCCACATGAGTACAATGTGTGAAGCCCATTTCTGGTGTCCCCCGCCGTGATATTGCTGGAACAATGTTAAAAAAGCGTAAAACCTAAACTCACTCACTCCACTCTTTATTACCACTGTACAGCTGACTACGACTTTGTAAGGAGACACGACTTTGTAAGGAGCGGGCATCTCATTGTTAACTACCTGAGGGAAGTCGACCTGTATCATAAATTGTAACTATGTAATGTGCATAACAAATTGCCTGCTTTTGAAATTTGGTGCTACCACATTTTCTGTTTTAAATAATAATGTAATGAATATATATGTTTTTAAAATAAAAGTTATTTGATTTAAAATGTTTATGAATGCAGACTTGATCTCGTCTCAATATGGCTGGAATAATGCCGATGTGACGTGAAGCCCAACTCAACTCAGCTCAACTCATCCTTCAGAATGTTATCTTGGTTACGCTGATAGTGCTCTCGCCTTTCTTAATACTGGTGCTTTTGTGGTTAAAGATTCTCAATCTTCTATTTTGTATATTTAGGACATCATCACCAATGTCCTCAAAGAACCTCGCTGCAGCACAAGTAATCCTTGGATAACATGTTTCGTCGTTCTTATATCATATATCTTTTCCTGTCTTCCAGACACTATCTGGACACAGACATTGTTCGATTGTCTTACATTCATCTAATAACGCTTGCCTTACTTCATCTACGATGATTGTATTCCCAGCAGCTTAAATAAGATTTCCAATAAATGCATCTTCTTCGTCGCAGGATACCTTGCTCTGTGTAGTATCCAATATACTTGCTAAATTATGTCATTTTCTTCAGAATTGGCATTGTTAGATGCCCTAATTGTACTGTCACTTCCATGATTGTTTTACCAGTAACGTTAGGTGACACGATTTCTCTTTCACCACGGAATGGATGGTCCTTAAGAATATTTCTCTCAGAGAGCAAAGTTGACACATTTATCTCGTCCGTGTCAACAAAGTCAGTTCTAACGCGGATGTTCGCGGTTTTCGGAAGGCATTAGAAAAGGTTACTTTGAGTAGCTCCAAATCTATATTTATGGCTGATGGCCTACATACTTTACACCCCTCATACTACACAGTCTGAATGGTGTACAGTCTTCAGTTAACAACAATTCAGAATATAGTTTTACACCCTTTTTAATATATATAACGTGTGGAAGTACAAAATACTACATTTAAATTATATTTAATCTTGATATATTGATGGTTATTTATATATCAATGAATATTAACAGGAAATTGAAAAGAAAACGGTAAAATGTATGTAAATTATTTTGTAACGATGATTTACTCCCAAATGGATATGAGGGAGCATTTAGTTTTTTTACACAGGCATGTTAAACATTGACATTATGAGCAAAGGTCCATGGTACCTTGAGACACAATCAAACAAGTCTCTAAGACATGCCCAATCGATCTGTGTTGGACACCGTTACAAGTGCAGTTTCAGCTGGACGTGGCAAGAGGGAGACCAATTTGCTCAAAACACTGACTTCAACTAATAGGGATCACAAACTATTACATTTTAAAACACATACGTGTATATTTAACATTATGGAGTCTTCAGTGTAAGCATGAAATCTTTAAAACTGAAACCGATTCGTTTACCACTGAAACATGAAACATCCATAACCAAAATCATAGAAAATAAAAAGTGCGGAGAAGATTTGACAATGTGAATGATCCCCCCCTAAAAATTATGTGCAAAGTAAGTGACCCCCCTACATGTACAAACTTGCTGCCCCTCCCCTAGTACAACATTTATGACCCTATGAGAATATTGCATCAAAGCCATAATAATGGTCTGGTATAAAAACTTGACTCTGAATGCACGTTGCATATGTGTCAGAAATTAGAATAACGTTCAAACAGAAAGTCTTGAGTTATCATTTTTATATATTAGGCCCATTTTCTTATTTTCAATTAAATTGAGCTCAGAACCCAATCCGGGCTTGAGAAGAGGTTACGGGGATGTGTCATTAACAATTCCTGTGTAATTCATACACACATGTTACCTTAGAAGTGCAGAAACATCTTTCAAACACACCTTGAAGAGCTGATATTTGAGTTATTGCATATGCCCTTGTGCATATTCTTGTGCATAAACTCTCGACTGAATAAGGTCAAAGTTATTGAGATAACATTTAAACGCAGACAGGAAAATAATGTAACCATAGTCAAGTGTAGATGAGATCAGGGCTTGTA